TTCGTAAGGGTGGAGGGCCTCCAGGAGCCACCTCTGAGCCAAACAGCTCCCCCTTCCAGCCGCCATCTAGCAGATGATTCTGCAGAGGGCACCCTGCACAGCCCCAGGCCCGGAGCAAGCACCCAAGCCCGAACGTCACAACGATGATGATTGGGAATCCTCCCAAGTCTCCTGTTTACTTCATCTTCTGTGGAGACACTGCCCAGCACTATGAACTGCCCAGAGCTCTTGGCAGAAAACATTCGGATCTGATGGAACACTGGGGCAGACAGGGCAAGCTCTCAGCCTCGCTGGGGTAAGCCCCTGGAGCAGGGGATTCAGCCTGTGTTCCGAGTACAGTGAGCTAAGGGACAGCAGACCTCTTCCCAGAGCTTGGCATCACCCCCCATCCCTGCCGGGATTCTGCTTTTTTAAAAACAACAACAAACGTGCTTCTAAGGTTGGATGTCACTGTGTAGTAAGTCTGGGGGTTGGGTGAGCAGGTCAGAGAACTATTGGAAAGGGAGGTAACGGATATGAGTGGTGTTTGTTACCTGTCCTATTCAATCAGAGAAGCATCTTATTCCACTGGTGCGGATTCTAGACCATGGCTCTCCCAGTGGCTGCACAAATCAATCACCCAGAGGAGCTTACAACAGCCTGGTTCCACCATGTGGGCATTGGTCTGGGGGCTGGCCTAGAGAGCTGGACTTTTTCATGACACTGTCATGGGATTCTAATGTGCTCCTCCAATTCTCCACCACTGTCCTTAAAGGTTCTGTTCCTCCCTCTCCCCCTCCCCCCAATTAGGCTATCATTAGTTCCATGGTCTCGGAAAAGCCCCTCGACCTCTTACTCCATCAGCCAGGTGAATTCCTGACCAAACCTCTCAAGCCCAAGCACCAAACCAAAAGCCTGCCCCCATGTCACACCGTCAGAGGCAGAGGCAGTGAACTCAAAAAACCAAATTCAATGTCATCACGTTGGTCTGAGTCATAGTGACCCTATAGGGCAGGGTTTCCCAGGCTTTACCTCTTTACAGGAGTAGAAAGCCCCAAGCGTCAGCACCCTTTAAAACACCAGTATCAGCTGATGCTCGAAAACTGAAAGGCAGTCTTGCCAACTACCTCGGGGGGAAAAAGAGGACTTCGAATTCCTGACTCTTAGGAGCTGTCCCCTTGTGGGGAAGGAGAGCTATCTGTGGAGAGAAAATGGCTGCAATGTCTGTTCAGCTGAATGATTTGACCCAAGCCTCACTTTCCCCAACTTGTAAAACGGGCGTTTTTTGAACCCTCATCTTCCAAATCAACCTCAGGGAGTGAATGTTAGAGGTACTGGGCACACGGCCCTCCGAGCAGCTTCCCCTGGGTTCCTCAGATTTAACTGAAGCTTCAGTGGTTCTCAACACTGGCGCTACCTTAGAATCAGCTGGGTGCTAAACACACACAAAAACAGAGAACACATTTCACCTGAATCCGTAGCTTCCCCCAATCATCTGGCCTACTGGCCCCTTGTCAAAGGTCGGGGGAGAGACTCAGCTGGCAATTTAAAGCTTTTTGTACTCTAACCCACAATCTAGGATAAATCATAGGCATCTGCTTTTGCAGCTCCGCCTGGCTCATTCCTAAGCTCGCCCCCCTCCCCCCAAGCATAAGGAGGCAGCACCACCCACTTTGGGAAATACTGCCCCAGACCAACTGAATCAAAATGGTGACGGGAAAGCACCCTCAGACTACTATTTAGAAGCTATTCCAGAAATAAATAAAATATAAAGCAATGCTGGTAATTCTAATGTTCGGCCCGGGCAAAGTGCAACTGAGCCAAGGGTATTTCTTTTAACTAGCTTGATTTAAGAGTCACAGGTGCTGCTGGGTAGGCGTTGGGCTGATAGCCACGAGGTATGTCGCTCAAACCCACCAGCAGCTCCAAGGGAGAGCAAGGAGGCAGTGTGCTCGGTAAAAGGCTTGCCGCCTCCACAGCTCTATACAGGGTCATGTGAGATGGAACAGCCTGAAGGCAGTGGGGGACACACCATAAAAACACAAGTGCGGCTGCCTTCTAGTAGCAGCAAACTTGAAACGCTGCCTTGTGGTAATTGTTAAACTTCCGGGGGAAAAGAGGGGAGAGCAGAGAGGTCAGGCACACCTCAGACCAAAACAAGCAAACTCACTGCCTCAAGTCGATTCAAACGCATAGCAACCCTGCCGGGCAGGGCAGAACTCACCCTGTGGGTTTCCAGACGGTAACTGTTTAAGGGAGTGGAAAGCCACGTCTTTCTCCTGAGGAGTGGCTGGTGGATTCAAACTGCTGACCTTGTGGTTAGCAGCCCAACTTGTAACCCATTATGCCACCAGGGCTCCCAAAGGCATGCCTATAACTCTGAAAAGCCTGCTGCCCCACTGCAGCCTAACAGAAACTCTGGTCAGTTACATAGCTGCACTTTCTACACTTTGAGCCAAATGACTTTTCTTCCTGGGGGTAGATCATTGTCAGTTTTCAGAGGAGACCTTCCACTGCACAGTCTAACCAAGAAATCACTCCTCTGTCAGCCCGGACTCACTGCTAGAGTCCATTCCAACTCCTATCGGCCCTAGAGGGCGGGGACAACTGCTGCTGTGGGCTTCGGAGGCTTGAAATCATTACAGCCCCATCTTTCTACCACAGAGCAGCGGATGAGTTCGAACTTCAGAGATGACGTAATGGCTACACGTTGGGCTGCTAACCACACAAGGCCAGCAGTTCGAAATCACCTACCACTCCTTGGGGAAAGGCAAGGCTTTCTGTTCCCTTAAAGCCTGGGAAATGCACAGGGATAGTTCTACCCTGTCCCACAGGGTGGGTGTGAGTCAGAACAGACTTGGTGGCAGTGAGTTCAGATCCCCTAAAAGGTTTCATAAAACCGATCATGGCGCCACCCTAGAGTGTGTCTGACAGGTAGTTTACGGACACCTGAAAACGTGCATTTCTGACAAGTGCCCACCGGTCCTAGGGGAACGTGGCAGTTACAAAATCTACTGTCAACTTGACTGAAGGGATGGAGTCTAGCCTGTCCATCAGGTCACGGCCAATTGTGCCTCTGTGTGGGCCTTCTCCTGAGGATTCTGGGAAGCCCTGTCTTCCTCCCTGGAGGCAGGACACACACACTCTCTGCTTCACAGTCCTGTTGACAAGGCACATAGAGACACTGATGGACCCAGAGCCCTGGAGCTAGAGGAGCCCACATGGAGACCCACACCAGTGCGGAGATGCTTCCACTGCCACTGGATCTTTAAGACTTTCTACCCACTGGCCTGTGATCTTCCTGCATTCAGCATCATTGCATGGCTGTGTGAGCCTAAAGAGGAATTTATGGACCAGTAACAGATATATGGGCTAATATCAGTCTTATGGACTTTGATGTGGACTGGGCTGGGATGTTTCTCGATGTACAACTGCTCTTTTATATAAAGCTCTTTCTTATCCACGTCTTTGGATTTCTTTCTCTATAGTCAACTCGAACTAACACAGGTAGCGATGAGTCATATGAGTCAGAATTGGCACGATGACGGTGAGGTGGGTGTGAATTGCCAATTCAAAAGTAAGGAGAAGAGTAATTTAAGAAGGGGGGGGAGAGGAAGGGGAGAGAGGCGGACCCTCCTTCCTCTCAGGTGGTGCTTATTTGGCACAACCCAGCGAGACCCAAGTCGGATAAAAGTGGACTAATTTTCCTCCAATAGTACTTGGAACTGATTTCCTAAGAGCCCCGGGGCCAACAAGAAAGGGGCTTTGTTTCACACGTCTCCCCCAGGGCCAAAGAGGTATTCAAGGCACAGACCCCGATGAATCTCCAGCAGACAGAAACCTGCCCGCAGCTGCCAGCCTGCACCAGCTACTACAACCCGCAGCTCGGTAGGTATGGCCACGGCGGACTCGACGGAAATGACTGTGGCGCTGAAACCCGACGCGAAAGGAGCCTGATTTTAGACCCCTGGCATCCCTCCCGGGGGAGGAGGAACCCCAAGTATTTGAACCGACACCCCCCGGGCCACGCTCTCCACTTCTTGCTCGACTTCCACCAGCTCGGGTGTTCAACCTCGCGAGGAGCCCCTTCCCCACTTGCCGAAGGCCGGCGGCTCCAGACACCAAGCCCCTCCCCACAACTCTCCAAACTCTGCCCCAAAGCACCCCACTTCACTGCTTCCTACCCTGACCATTCTCCTTCATAGCCTCCCAATTCTTCTTCCACCCGTGTCTCGCCTCAATAACGTGCTCCCCTCCAACGAGCACCCGAGACTCAAAATCCCTCAACCGTACACCATGCCGGCTCCCCAAGCCCA